TTATTCTGCCCAGCACAGTGGCTAATTCATATCTCTTCCAGATCTTGGTCAGAGTTCACCTTCTCAAGGATGCCTACTGTTCAATGCTGGAAACTACCCCTCTCTTCATTCTCAATCCCTACTTGGCTGTACCTTTTTTTTTTATTCCATTCCTCACTTCCTTATAGCAGTTATACTATTGTCTTTTATATGTTCATTTTCAGTCTGCTGCACACACCTCCTATTGCAAATGTACACTCCAGGATTCATCTTCATTACTGTATCTCAAGTACCTAGGACAGTCGTTAGGTCATGGGACTTGTGTACAAATGTTTGAATGAATGAATGAATGAATGAACGAACGAACAGTGTGTGAATCTTAAGCAAATCTTTTTCACCAGAGCTTTACTTTTCTCTTGCCCAGCATGGATACCTGAAATGGACGTAGAATGAAGGGAAGGACTTGGGACTCCTACATTCATTAGCTTTCCTTTCTAACCTCAAAGGTTTTAGTCCTGCCAGCTCTAGAACTACAAAACCTCAGAAAGAGTGGCGTCGGAAACACTCTGTTGTCTGTAGGAGCCATAAAGGGCCAAGAGACAGAGAAATGTTGGTGTTCATTGCCAAAGAACATTCTCCCTGTGACTCCTGCAGCTGTTCAGTGTATTGTCTCTGGCAGCTCTTGGACCCTTGTTAGCCCAAAAGCCAAAAATCTGAGCTTGACAAGGCTGAGGAATCCATAGAGCCTATGAGGCAGCTAACAGGTATGGGGGTGGGGTGGGGAATTGACAGAGATTTTAGGATTGAGGAAATCACATGAAGTTTAAAACCACAAACCTGTATTATTTTAGGAACCACAAAGGAAAGTAAAGAGGTTTAAAGAAAACAAACTAATGGCTCATTCCTGTAGTTGACACATCAGCCCCATAATCTTAATGCTTGGTTGAGTTCTTCCCTTGGCTTAAATATATCCTGAAATGCTGGAATATATCCTGGAATATATCCTGAAGCTGGAATATATCCTGAAAATGCCATTTTAGTGGTAAAGATGAAAATTATTATGTGGGCATATATCTGCTAGGTAGATGGCCCCATCAGTTGCTTACCCACGCTTATCTGTAAGTTCTCATTACTCCACTGTTTTGAGTGCTTTAGCTCCCTGCCTGGAGTTCCCCAAAAGAAAATGCTTTGGGGCCAAGGTTTCTGTCTTTATTTTGGTAGTTTCTTTTCTTAAACTTTAGAGACCAGTGCCTTCTGCTTACCTTGTAACTTGGTCTTCAGAGAGGTTTGTGGTCAGAGGAAAGGCTTTGCACTACCCTGATTTCTCCCCTGGTGCTATGCTACTGAGAACCTGCTAGTTTGCAAATAAGTGTCCAGACCAACGTCACTTTATCCAAGCTGGATCTTTCAAGGTGTGAGAGAAATGTTTGCCCTTGACCTTGGCCATGATTCTTTTTAGAGATGTTACCTTTTATATTTGCTTAAACTTTTCTGGTCTGTATCAAATTAAAACCATTTGAGATCCATAACTTAGTTTTGATGCTTTTTAAAGCACCTTTGTGTTAGAAGGTCTGTTTATTTTTCCTCACATCTACCTCTGCTTCTGCCATTTTCCTCAAGTTACACCCAGATTCCAGACGCCACATTTCTGTAATCCTGTTGGCCAGAGGCTTGGATCACATTTATTCCATGTTTTTGTCTTGGCTTCCAGCTTTTTTGTAGTTGGCAGTTTGGCACGATAGACTCTTGAAGTAAAAGTACACAACTGATCAAGGTAGTTTCTCTTTTTATGCCGTTTAATAAGAATTTGGATTGTAGTGGGTAAGGGTGGCTGATGGAGTGCGCCAAAAATTGAAAATATGCTTTCATAATTATCTCTGGTTTGAAATACTTTGAGGTGAGAGAGAGAAAAAAAGCTAAGTTTGCATGCCTTTAAGGGAGGTCATTGCCCTTTCATGCTCAGCTTTAAAAAAAAAAAACAAAAAACTTTAGGTATATTTTCAAATGCTTACAACCAGTGATGTGGATGTGTGGTGGGTATGGCTGGGGGCCTTCTAGACAGATTGAGTTGCATGAGCAAAGCCAGAGAATGTATGGCTTTGCATGTACTGCGACTGTTTGAGGGACAAGGAGTGGTTCAGATACTTAGGTGCTTGAATACATTGGCTGGTAAAAGCAGTTGTAGAAGGTCCCAGATGCTTATACTGTTTATACCACAAGTAGTTTGTACTTACTTTGATAGACAGCAGGGAGCTATTGAAGGTTTAGGAAAATCCATTAGGAAGTAGTAGTGTTAGTGTGGATTAGCCTCATGAGGGACCTTTGGGAAGGTTGTAATTCAGTGGTTCAGATGAAACATGAGGGCCCAGAGGTGGACAGAAATCTATGACAGTGGAGGAGTCTAGGCAGTTGGACAGGCCTCACCAGGGGATGTGCAGTGGTCTTTCAGTGGTCCTGCTATGACTTTAACCTGAGGTCTGGTCCCCAAATCAGTTGGGATCTAGGTCTTAGAAACCCTTTTTTCCCTTGCAGACATTGTACTTAATGAAGAATTCTCAAAATATATTTAGGATGTTTTTGATTAAGTCTGTCTTGTTTGGTGGCTGTCTGCAAGAGGTTGAAAATAGGAAAGAAACTGATGAACCTTAGTTTTCAGAACTTTGTATTAGGAAGTTTGGAAAATAGGGAGTTTTTCTTTTCTCTCACGTGACCAGAAAACTGTTGTTCCCAGATAGGAGAAATGGAGCGATAATATTGGTTTCCTAAAATCCATTAGTGTAAGAAACTTTAGAAATGAAAGTACACAGAAGGCAATTTAAGTAAAAAGGGGAAAAAAATCAATTAAAATAAAAGTCTTTATGGAGTTTTGGAAATAACAATGGTCTGCACAGAATTAGATTGTGTGCCCCCCCCCCCCCCCAGTAAAATCATGCTTCCACCAAACTAACACCTCCCCATCTCTTGGAGCCCAGGGAAAAGTTTAGAATATTCTAGATTGATCTTTGCTAAGGTGCCTTTTCATAAATTATTACATGGAGAATAACAGGAGAAAAAGCAGTCTTAACTGGCACAATTGATGTCTAAATTAAGATGTGAACATGTATTGAAACAGTATTTTTTAAGCTTTAAAATGAATGGTTTTGTGATACTGGAATGTGGCTCCCCCCCCTTTCCAAAGGGTTTCAGAGCCAATAGAATCTATAAATAGTGCAGGCCGGTTGTCTGTGGTAGATTGAGTAGAGCAGAATCGCCTGTCCTTAAGTGAAGGGGAAGTAGCTTTACATTTTTAGTAACTGAATTGTTGGCCAGCATAAAGGTAAGGGCCATGTGAGCAACTTATTTATAACTTCCCATAAAGGTATGTGTCTGCCTCAAGCAGAGAAACTGTCTGGGGTGCTTGAAATGTAAAAGTGCAGTAGAATCATTTTCCATACACAGCCTTCCTAGCTAGTTGGTGCAATAAAGTGATTGTTCACATCCCTGGGGCTTTCAGAAAGAGGGGTGTCAATAGCTTAGCTTATTAGCGTCGCCTCCTATGGAATAGAAGGGACTGAGGCCATTAAATGTGAATCTATGGTTTTATGTAGTGAAGAGTGTTGAGATATTAATTCCCAAGGGTATTCAGGACATAAATTTAAGCCTGGTTGAACCTTTTGGGTGTGGTCCTACCTCTACCATGTGGGCTAACTACAATTAGGTTCTTGTCAAAATATTTCATGGGTATAAAAAGCACTTTATTTTTTCACAGATTAGTTCAACTCTAAGTAGGTTTTTTTTCTTTTAAATAAAAGACATGGAATCCAACTGAATTCTCTGGTAACAGTGGGAGAAGGGAAGAAGTGTAAAACATTTTCATGGCATCCTGTAAAGTGCATGTTAAACTGTTTTCGTAGATGCCAGAAAATGGAATCCATTGTTACATGTTAATTAATGTCATCACTCGCATCAAGAGTAAATCACTTTACAGTCAGGTTTAACTCTATGGATGAAATTTTTATAATCATAGACACCCAAGTAAAATATGTTTTTGGCCCTCCTTTGTTACTCATTGTGTATTTTCAGAGACTTGAGTTTTTCTGAATATTCTGTTGACCATTTAAAGGATCTGCATATATGGCTAAAATGTAAACTTTGGCTTTTGTGCCAATATTGTGGTTCTGTTTAGTATTTGGGCAAGTTGTAATAAGTGGTAAATGGCTCATTAACTATATTGGAGGCCTCATAGCAGCACTAATTTCAAATCGTGCTGCGTTTACAATTTACATATTAAAAAATGTTCACTTGATTTCGTTCAGGGACAAAGCTGACATCCTGTATAAGCATTACTCCAAACAATCCTATTTATTGGTCCAATTATTTCAATTGAAAGATGCTGGTTTACTGCCTTTTAGTATATGTGAACAATTCTCAGTGAAACTGTTAGAGATCAGTTGGACTATAGTGGCAGAATAACCTCACAGGGTTTCAATTCACTTTTAATTTTGAGTCCCAGGATTAAGGATCATTTATAGTATAATGTAACAGTGTGGGCAAATATAGCTTCCTTTAATGCCTCTCTGATATTTTGGGGAAAAAGCACTTTTAGTCAAAGCATTCACTTACGAATTGCATGACAGCCTTTTCTCACTATAAATTTCATTCACATTTCCTTCCTTCTCCCACATTCTTAAAAGACAGGACAGCATGCAGTGTTTTGCTTCATTTTATCTAAAATTTTTTTTTGAGATGTGGTTTAAGGTAGTTCTTGAGGATAGATGTCAAGGTAACTAGTTAATGCTGTTTGAAAATCAGGCTCTTAATTAAAAATGCTTAATTTGTGCAAGAAAACTACATGTTAAAATGAATTTGGAAAGATTAGATTGGAATTGCCTCAAATTCAATTAAGCCACACTGCATGGACGTGCTGGGAATATCAATACAATCACTGTAAATTTTGTACAAACTGATTTGTTGCATTATCTTGCTCATCTAACATACGGTACTTTTTGTGTCCATATTGCAGACGGCAACTCCAAACTAACATGGCAGTCAGACTGTGTGATGTGGCTTCTCTGCTTAGAAGTGGTTCGTGGGCAGCAGAGCCTTGGACTGGGGTCTGTGGGATTTTTCTTAAATTCTGTAGGCTACTTTTTTTTAGCATGTTGCAGGAGTGCTGAGGCCATACCAAACACTTGAACTTTTCATTTGGCATATTAATTATTCTTACATTTAACCTATTGCGGTATGGCCATCATTAGGATTTAAAGCACATTGCAATTTTAACCACAGTGGTATATGTAGCATCAGAACCATGCTTTTGTATGTAACTTTTTATAATCAAAATTAGGATTTAGTGCAGACTCAAAGAAAAGAGTGACAAGCTTTTTTAAAAAAAACAAAACAAAAAAGTTTTGGTATGGTCTGAATACTAAGTTACCGTAATTCTTTACATTCTGTTTACTATGTATTTTTTTGGTTACTAAATTTTGAAGTTATTTACAATTCCTGATGCTCAAAAAAAATTGTTGAAATTGTAAATCTGGCTGAAAATTATTTGCCCAGTAACCGTTGAAAGAGTTTGCATTCTGTGAACAGTTGTGTTGAGCCTATCAATGGAATATGCATTATTTGTAAAATATAGCACATTAGTATCATTTTATTCTGAGCAGATGGTCCTATAGCTGAGAGATGCTGTAATTTTCAGCACACACAGCCTACTGCAGCTGTTCACTTGAATGTTGGCTTAGGAGCTCATTCTTGCCACCTGAACATGGAAATAAATGTGCAATTAAGTGAGGAGTGTTTGTTGTCCTTGCTAAATCCTGCTAATTTCAGTCAATGAACACTTTATATTTCAAATGCCATCCCAATGAGTTAAGTCCAAATCTCATATTTGGGGTTCACATGGTTTCTACACATACTCTAACTTTTGAATAATGATTTGTTTTAATTGGCTTTGGCCACTCTAATCTTGAGACTCTTTTGTCTTCATAAATGCTGGGCAAAGGTAAATTCCACAAGAGTTGTGCTGTGGAAAGTGACCCACAGCTAATATTCTGCAGACTGGAACAGTTATGCTTTATTAGTTTTATGCTTTATTAATTTGAAAACTCCTTTCTCAGTTTCAGATAAATTTGTTAATTATAATAAAATGCATATCTTTTTTTTTCAGATTTTTTTTTTTCTTACAGATTTCCAAAGATTTATTTTCCCTTAGTCCTTTAAGTATTTCCTGAGAACACTTAACCAAGAGAGGTAGCATGCAACTTGTAGAAAAACCCATTTCTTTGAAAAGGAAATGAAGTCACAGAGAGTTAGTTTGTTTGATATTTCATAGGTGGCCTGGATTTTGTCTCCAATTTTTTATCATGATAGCACTGATTCTTGTCCAGTCTGACCAGTCTTAATCTGGTCGGTTGACCAATCTCAATCTGTCCTATGCTGCCTTCTTTTATAGAAACATCTCTTGGCAGTAGAGATTTCTTCCTGTATGCTCCACTGTTGCGCCCTTTTATTTTTCTTACACAATATGCTTTTTAAGAAAAAAAAACAAAAAACAAAAAAACTTTTTTCTCTTGTAACACTCTTTCCCTCTACTTTGCTTTTTAAAAAATTTTGCCTTAAATTCTTTGCCTTTTATATGTAAAGAAGTTCCCTAAAACTAGCATTCCATCAATTCAGAATTGTCAGTTTTGAGAAGTTGTTCTTTGTGGAGATGAGAGATGCATTGGATGAAATATAAAGGATAATTCTTTTAGTGATGCTTTGATTTTTGGATTTCCCCCAATCTTGGCTGTCCAAAGTAGATAGCTATTGGAAGATGGTTTTAGAAAATTTGGGGCCGTGGTTTGTGACTCTTTTGCTTAAAGAGCATAGCATTGATTTTTAGGAAACTAGATCCAGATTTTCTTATTAATGAGTAGATTTTTAGAGTAGCCAGAACAGTTTGAGGCCATTTCCCCCAAATCTGCTACTTATCCGGTATTTGGAGTTTATAGATACTTTATTACCTGCATTTCAACAGGCTTATGTGCTCAAATGAAAATTCCTTGGGCTGGTCTGTTTGCAAAAGTTGAAATCTTTATATTGTTGTTTTGGTGGACTGGATAGGTTTTTGTTTTTTTCCCTTTTAAAGTCACAGTTGAGGCAGAATGCCATACTGCATTGTTTGGGGATTTTATTTTGATGCTGTAGATCAGTTGCCTTGTTGGTGATCTTTAGCTGCCAAGGTTGACAAGAATGGCTTGTTAGATTCTACAAGGTACACTAAGTATGCCTAGCTTCTTTTCCAAGTTATCCTACAAATCCTTTTCATGCCCTAACACTTAACATCTGATATTTTTCTTAGTTCTTACCAACAGAAGAGGTATAAGATATTGTCAATCAAAAACATTTTCAATATGTAACCAAAACAGTACATGTTGACAAATTTATATTTTTTAAAATACTCTTACTCCTTGATTTTAAGTTAATAGATGTCTGTCAGTTTTAGAATATTGAAACTCTTAGGCTAACTTGAAAATCTCTTCAAAGTTAGGAAGACCATTTTCTGGTTTGTTTTTCTGATAGCATGTTAAACACTTCTGTCTTGTAGTATGTATTATATAGTCAGGGTTTAATTCCATGCCCTTTGGTACTAAATTTTCTCGAGTATGTGGACATTGCAGGTGAGTAAGGGTATATGAGTAGACCCAGAATGTGGTTCTAGAGAATGTTTAACATTTAAATTGTGCTTTTATGTGCATGTATGGAATATGTATGTGAAAGTATAATTGTGAATTTAAATTGACTAGCTTAATATATGAAGTAGAAATTAGTGTAGGCGTTGCACTTTTTGTTGAAGCTTTGTTGTAATTTCAGCAGAACGACTTGTATTTAGTGACACATATTTACATTCTTGGTTGGAATCTCTAATAGTTTATGAAATATGAATTCTGACATTTCTTATTTTCTCTGTTTTTAGCAGGTAATTGCTGCCATGGAAACACAACTGTCTAATGGGCCAACTTGCAATAACACAGCCAATGGTCCAACCACCATAAACAACAACTGCTCCTCACCGGTTGACTCTGGGAACACAGAGGACAGCAAGACCAACTTAATAGTCAACTACCTTCCTCAGAACATGACACAGGAGGAACTAAAGAGTCTCTTTGGGAGCATCGGTGAGATAGAGTCCTGTAAACTTGTAAGAGACAAAATAACAGGTATGCAGTTTTGTATAGGTTACTCACCTTTAAAGGATTATGTTTCAAGGTGTGAGAAAATAATAGGTTTTCTTCTAGCAGGTCATTCAGTGATGCAGTTCTACACGTCTAGATACTCTGTTACTGACTACATCAGCAGCCTGAAACTTTGGTTTTAGAGTTTTGTTTTCCTTTTAAAGCATAAAATATTTTTTATGGGCAGTATATGTTATAACTAGACTTTCATATACTCTGTACTGTATAATAACATCTTTGAAAACTGTTTTAAGAATGTGTGTATGGGACAGAAAGTGTCATGTTGACCTTTAGTTTTAGTTCCTGAGCTTATATGTTTTAGCATTTTAACAATGAGTTCTAAGAAGAATACTCTGTTTGGAAGAAGGAAGAAACCTCTTAAAATGTCTTTTCCCTTAAGTCTGTATAGTCCTGCTTATAATATATATGACAGAGTAAATGGTAGTGTTCACATTGTCAATGTATAAATATTTGTACTGATATAATTCGAGTGCAGTAGGATCTAATGTTTTGTTCCTTGATAAGTAAAGGAAAAGGTGGTGTAAGAGTGTTTCTCTTATCCTAAAGATAAAAACTAAAGGATGGGTAATTTGGCCTTTGATACTACATTTTGAATATTAGGTAGTAGAGAATATCCTTAGAATTTTGTAAGATTCAACTAAACTCTTAGAAGAAGCCAAAACCTAAATGAGGAACATGTTCTTGGGATACAAGAGTTAATGCTTCCGGCAGGAGTTGTTTTCAAACATGGAAAATGTGTGAAGTGTACAAAGGCTTTCTCATGCTCATGTTAAAATTGGGTGATGGTGTATATGAAATTGCTTTACATGGCTTGTAACTCCTACTATAAAACTAAATATTTGAAATGGGTAAAGAATACCTATAGGCAGTGTGAAGAGTTAGACCGGGAGTCTGAACTTTAGTCATGTAACTGTGGACAAGTCAGCTCTTGGCCTCAGGTCTCCCTTGGTAAAATGAGGGAGAGGGCAGAGAAAAGGGGTCACACCTAGGGAATTTCTGAGGTCAGTTTTTACTTTGTCTGAATTAGTACCTTTAGCTGTTCTTTTTTCAAGACAGCAGGGCTTACTGTCTCCAAGGTGAGTAAGTTCTTAGAGCTGTCATCTGGGCCTGGTCTCACATACAAATTGAGGCTCACAGAGAGAACTTATTTAAGTAAAACCTGGTTGTCATCAGTCCATACAGAGTAATTCTATTTTAACTAATTACATTACTTAGTTGTTCACCACGATATCATCAGGAAGATTTGTTTTTTTGTTTTTGAATGCTGATAATCAAATGGATAGTATTTTTCCATTTCTTTTTCCAAAATCCATCTGAGCCTCATATGTGAAATTTATAAAGAAACAGTTTTTGAAAAGTTGGAAACAGTATAGAACAACTGGCTCTTAGATTTGTCTGTCCTGACACTGAGTTTTATTACTACCTTTTTTAGCAAAACAGTATCTTTATATGTGAGTTTTGCAACCTCTTTGACATAAATGACTATGTGTTAAATGGCATAAAGGCCATGACATCAAGGATGTGATTTCTGGTTTGATTGCTTAGTAGCCATCCCTACCGTTAAAAAACAAAACAAAATAAAACAACAACAACAAAAAACCCAACAACAAAAAACAACAACAAAAAACCGTTAAAAAACAAAACAAAATAAAACAACAACAAAAAACCCAACAACAACAAAAAATAGGTATATAAAAGTTGCATTTTTTGTTATGATACTGAGAGTTTATGAAAGTATGAAACAAATCCTACGTCATTTGTATTAGGCATCTACTACAGAAAACATCTCAAAGACCTTTATCTCTCATCTCTGGTCAGTCTTGAATTGTGTTATTCTTTCTGAAGTCTTTTACGAGAACTGTTTTATGGTGCAGGTGGATAAATTGGAATTGTGTGTTTTTATACCCTTTGCCTTCCTGTCTTTAGTGTGATAAATAGTGGTGGTAGAGCCGTAGTGCATGGTGATCTGAAGTACATGGGTAGATACTGGCAAAGTGCATTAGTATTTGCTGTCCATTCCTTGACCCCTCACCAACACCCTCCTGTCTTTTCAGTAAGATGGGGCCAATTAAGTTTTCCACCATGGTAAAATTTCTGTTTAAAACCTCTGGTAAGCAAATGGAGTACCCAGGAAAATCCATAGTGAGCATGAGGGTCAAAAGATGTTTTCTAAACTTCATTTCATGAGACACAGCCGTACTTGTTCTTTAAAACGAATGTTCCATTGACAGACAAGTTTGAGAAATGCTTCCCTTGATAGTTTCCTATTTAAGAGCCAAACTGCAGATCATCAGCATATTACAAACCACATATTAAAATCCTGCAGTAAAGAAACTAGTTTTCTGGCCTTATTTGACCACAGAACTTGTTTTAGGGGATATCTCCTTAATACTAGATTTACATTGAGCATATAAAAGCTTTCATTTAATTATCAGACAGTCTGAAACTTCTCTGTAACCTGTTGATAACAGTAAAGTATGTGCAGGTTTCAAATATGAACATCCATGGTAATGAGCTGTATAATGGATTAAAAAGTTGAGTAGGCAAGTAAGAACACAAAGGAACTCTTCTAGTGGCCGTGTTTTGACTTAGCCCACTGACATCTTCTTAGTATGGGTTAAAACAGTGTTTGGAAGGGTCTGACTCATTTAGCTGCAAGCATAGATTACCTCAGATACGTTGTTTTTAATTCTGAGTGTCTTAGTAAATATTTGTATAGAACAAAATAGTCCAGTAAATGGTAGGTTTCTAAAACTGGATTTTGAGTGGTTGTACTTTACAAAGTGGGCCTATATTTCTAAGAAGCTACTATTAATACATCTAGAAAGATTGAAAGAATGTGTGAGGATTTGGACTCTGCCCTGTGGTGTTTAGCATTAGCCAATTTTTTTAGTTTCTCAGTACACATTTTTAGGGTTAAATTTGAGTTCCTGGGTCTAATTATCCAATTTATCCTACCTCCCCGGGAGCTGCCAGGCCAGCTCTTTGTATTCTGTTTTTGTAAGAGGCGGGCATTAATTGTTCGGGTTGTAAGAAAACTATGAGATAACTCTTTTGGAAAAACATCTAAGTTGTTCTTTGTCATTTTTCTTAAATCTTCCCTTATTTAAATAATGCTGACTTTAGGAAACTGTATCTCAGGTAAAAAAAAAAAAAAAAAAAAAAAAAAAAAAAAAAAAAAAAAAAAAAAAGTCTAGTAGGAAAGTGTGTGCCTCTTTCCTAAGTCCTAAAAAAGAGTGTATAATTTTTAGATTGTTTTGGTGTTGGCAAATTAATGTCACTATTTTGATAGGATGAGGATTAGAGCAATACATTGAGAAACCTCTTCAGTAGTAAATATAGTAATCTTCTTTTTGGCCTACATTCTATTTATTATGTTGTTTTTCAGGCCCTTTCTTTGGTTTTGTGCCCAGCTTTATGCTTCATCCCATTTCCTGTCTCTAGGCATTCGTCATGAGAAGCCACTGCTGCTTGTATAGTTTAGCTGATGTCGGTCCATCTCTTTTGAGTTTATGCACTTCAGAGTCCTTGACACCTGCTGATGCTGCATTCTAGAGGAGTGAAATAGATTTTAGGATGCAAGGAATAAGTAATAGAATGTTAGAATCAGAAAAGTCCTTGAGGTGACCTTAGGCAGCTCCCTCACATAACAGGTGAGCTGAAGCCCAGGTTTGTTTAAATGGCTAATTAGTCCAAAACCACATGGCTATTAAGCAGTAGAGTAGGGACCAGAATTCTGGTTTTCTATTTTTTCCTGGGATATTTCCTCCTCGCCTTTTGTTGGAGGCCAGAACTCATGAAAAATGATGAATTTATAGTGAGACCTCTAACTTGTATGCATTCACCAAGGGGCATCTTCTGGTGTATGTGTCCTCTTCAGAAGGGGAAGGAGAGATTTTTGAGAGTAAAGGACTGAGGGATACATAAAATGAAGAATGTCCATGCTTCTCTAGAAACTTCGTAATCTGTAGTTTTGAATTTGGATATTATAGCCCAGTGATTGCTAAATCTGCCTGCACATCCTCCTATGAGGGAGTGTTTAAAAATAGAGATTCTGGAGACCTTGGGAATCTTGTCAGAAATCTCCCCAGGTGATTTTGACGGGCAAGCAGGCAGTTTTGGGAATCAGCCTTTTAAAGTAGTCAGTAGAGTACCTGCATTGGAATCCGTTGGGATGACTACTAGAAACGCAGCTTCCTGGACCATGCCCAGACCTACTGAATCAGAATCTTTGTGGTGTAGGGCCCAGAATGTTCCATTTATCTGGGAGTTACCCAGTTCTTTTCCTGAACATTTTTCAGGGAGATAGAACCAGAATTAATCAGGTTTATCTGAACTCTGGCTGGAGATGGGAGAGTTGTTACAACCACAGTGCCTAATTCTGTGGTAAACTAAGTTTCAGGCGCTGCCCCCTCCCCAGCATTGGTTTCTAATGCGTTAACTCCTAGTATTCAGTACTAGAGATGTCAAAGTCACTAGGCTGTGTCTTTACTGAACACCTGACCTGTCCCTGAAAGGGTGTGTGTACATGTGTAATTATTTTTCAGAATTCCAAGAGAGCTTGTTCTGTCATTGTTACTTTTCCTTTCTTCTAATAGAAGAGCGAGGGAAGTTAGTTGAAGACCTCAGGTCATGAGTGGTACTCTTTTTTGTCTTGGTGTGATGGCTTCACTCTTATTCTAGGAATTGTTTGAGGTAGGTCCTGTGGCGACCCCATCAGCTGTGAACTAGAATCTTTCAGACAAAAAGGAAAAACAAAGACCTGAAGGGGGGCACCTGGGTGGCACAGTCAGTTAAGCATCCCACTTTGGCTCAGATCATGATCTCACGGTTCTTGGAGCCTGCCTCAGATTCTATGTCTCCTTCTCTCGCTGTCCCTCCCCCACTCCTCTCTTTCTCACATGCGTACGTGCTCTCTCTCTCCCTCAAATAAAAAGACATTAAAAAAAAAAAAAGGCCCAAAG